GAGAAATCACCCCCTGGGGGGATGGCCATAATCAATTGGTCACCGCAATCCCTTTTCCTCCATTTTCCTCTTGGGATTTTGGGCATGCATGTACACACACCTGGTGCAAGTTTCAGGCCACCGAGTCCAGGACTCAAACCATGGTCAGCCATATGGGAGTCCAGCAACAAAACCATTATGCCATCTGCTGGTCATAATAAAAAATCTTTTTTTGGCAATTAAAAGAAACAAATGTCCCCTGAGCACAGAACAAAGAAAAAGAACCACAGGTCTATGATGTTTTCTTTTTTAAACGAAGTGATGAATATTGGTTATAAATATTAGCTATACTGAAAATAAATCACAATGCAACTTGGCAATAAAAAGGGAAAAAAGGACCTTTCTAGGGTAACTCATTTCCCGAGGTCCCTAAAGAGGTTTACTAGAGCAGAAGAGACCCGTTCATTGCTGGTCTCTAAGTGGACACCTCAGCATTGCTGGTGGGTGGCAGAACTTCCACCAGTTCAAGCCAGACTTCTTTATCCATCAAACCAGCCTTACTGTTTGCATCTGAAAGGCCGCTTGCCTGCCTTCTGATCCATGGAACTGTGTTTCTTTCTTGCCCCATCCAACAGTGATGAACTTGCCTAGAGAACAATGTAGAAAATGTAAGACAAATAAGCTAAATAAAGCAATTTTATTGCTATTCTTCACAAAGTTAGGCACTGACATGACTTGGGTCCTTTAAGATGGCTCAATAAATTGACCAAAGGTCAATATTTTTAAAACACCTGTATTCCACAATACTTCTGAAATTCTGAAGAACTTCAAAGACCTCTACTTTCCCATAAAATGCAGATCTGAATCTAATCAACAGAAACAAAACTCAGCCTTCTATCCCATCTCTCGTTTTCTTCTCCCCAAAATTGTACCCCAGAAGTGCCCCCCTATTTCTAGCTTATACAGTCTCTTTCACTAAAATGCCAGCCGAAGCCTTTCCTAGAGTTTGGGCAGGAGCCATCTATGTGAGTTTAAGCACAAATTTGTATTTCCTAGTTCACTGACAAGGCCAACCCTCAGAACTAGAGAGGCCCCAGAGGTATGTCTTTTTACGATCTGATATGGGCTCAGACATTTAGTAAATGGGATTTAAGCTTCACAGTTCTTTAGGCTTATGATGTGGTTATTAGAGGACAAGAAAATTATCAAAACTGAGAAGGAATAAACAATGTTTCAAAGCTATACTCACTTTCACCAAAATCATCCTGGTGGATTTGCTGTTCCATGATTGGTTCAAAGTCTTTTGTCATCATAATTAGAGTCTGTTCACCTTAGAAGGATACAAACAAGAATGATTTTGATTTTATGCAACGAAATGATCATTCCATAAATTGCTATGGTACTGAAAGCTACAGAGCTGCAGTGGAAGAATTACAGTCAGGGTAGGATAAACCATTCATTCACTGTGCTTTAACCTAAAAAAAAATCCTGTGCCTGGATAAGTGACCTGGTGTTAATCCACAGCTACTATGTATGTAAAGCTGAGCAGAAAATTCCATATAGCAGGCCAGCCAGTGGTATGGTGGTTAAGGCAGCTGAATCCCATGTGGCCAACTATACTGTTCAAGTCCTGGGCCCAGTGACTTGAAAAATACTCCAGGCATGTGTGCCCACAATCTCAAAGGAACATAGAGGAGAAAAGACTATAGTACGGCCATCTCACTTGGGGGTGCCTTCTCACTTTCCCTCTCTCCCTCTCGCCAGTAAGTGCGTGTGCACTATAGTAAATTAAAAAGAAAAAAAGGAAAAGTCCACACAGTTCTCCTCCACTGAGATCAACACTTCTAATTTTAAACATCTCTTCCAATATATGCCTCATCAGCAGTTCTGGTTTACTGAACTCACCTGAAATGAAGAAACCTAAAGGTCAAAAACTGGAATGCAAGAGAAATTTTTAGAATCTGTTTACATGGAACTTTTGTTCTTAGAGTAGATTAAGATAAATATTGCTGACTTTTCTTTTTTTTTTTTTTTGGCTATAGGACATATGTGCTCACCAATAGAGACATGGAGAGAGAAAGTGAGAAATCATCCTCTAGGAGGGATAGCCACGCCACAATCCCTTCTCCTCTCGGGATTTTGTGAACACACGTCTGGCCTGAGTTTCAAGCTTCTAGGTCCAGGGCTGGAACAATGTTAGGCCATATGGGAGCCCAGTGCCTTGGCCACTATTGCTGACATTTTAAACTGCAGCTGTGAAATTAGCAGCCTCCCCTGATTTTATGATTTTGTTTCCTATTTCTAAGACTGAAAAACTTACATAAAATGCTTCTTGTAACAAAATACTACCAAAAGGGTAAAAATCAAATTGGAAAACCACATTTGCTCAGCATTATAAACTGGTATAACAATATTTCACTATTTGAAGAAATATTTTGAAACTTAAAAATCCCAAAACGTAAGCCTATAAGATATTAGGAATATTTTATAAAAGTCACTTAGATACCAGTACAAGCTTACCAGTGGCAAGAAGCACCAGCTCCTGATCAGGACTCCAGCTCATGACAGAGATACCACTGGCCACACTCCCCACACATTCCAGCTAAGAAAGAAACAATGCAAACCGGAGATTAAAACACAAGCACCTGGCGACATTTACAACAACCTCAATCAAAACAATTGCTCAACAAACACTGCTTCTGTAACAGGTATGGAGAGATTAGACATGCCACTAGGCACAGAGATTGGAAATGGACACGCTACTCCTCCCAGAGCTATCTATGACAGAGGATAAGAGTTATAGCTGAGATCTCTGGGAAGTAAAGTGGGTCTCAGAGCAGAGAATGACAAATGGCCCAGGTGAATCCAGAGAAGTTTTTCTAAGGAGGAATCTCAAAGAGTGACAATATGGTCAGGAGAGCGAGATAAAAGGAAAAGCACAGTGCTGAGACACACAGGTATAAAGAGCAGTTAAAAACCTGATGCAGGGGGACCAGCAGTTGGTGTAATGGCTATGTTGCTGGACTTGCACGTAGTCGACTGCAGTTCGAGTCCCGGACCTGGTGGCTTAAACTCACGCTGGGTGCATGTGCGTGCATGCCCAAGAGCCTGAGAAGAGAATGGAGGAGAAAGGATTGCAGCATGGTCATCCCCTAGGGGGGTAATTTCTCACTTACTTTCTCTCTGTCTTTCCAGCGAGCATACGCACCCTATAGCAAAAAACCTTTCCAAAAAAAACAAATACCTGATGCAGATATAGCATAAGGTATACAGAGAAATGTACACGGAAATAGAAATGACAAAAGGGTGAAACTAAAAAAAATTTGGGAAACAGTGTAAGTTCTTATAAGTCACAAAAAGGAACACAAATTTTCTTGCAAACAATAAAGAAGCCACACAGCAGCAGGGACAATACCATTAAATGGAAATAAATGGACTGGAGGAGCTTGGTAACCAGTAAAAAATTCAACAAAATATTTTGTAAGTAAAAGCACACTTTTGAACATGAGAAACACTAAGTTATACCTAACGGCTTAGATATTTCTCACTGTGAACTCAGAGTAAGTTTTTTTATTTTTTTTTTGAGAGGTTTTTGCTATAGGGCATGTGTGGTCGCCAGAAAGACAGAGAGAGACAGAAAGCGAGAAATCACCGTCCAGGGGGATGGCCACGCCGCAATCCCTTCTCCTCCATTCTCCTCTCAGGATCTTGGGCACACACACACACGCCCAGTGTGAGTTTAAGCCACCGGGTCCGGGATTCAAACCGTGGGATTCAAACGGCAGTCAACAACATGGAGTCCAACGATACAGCCATTACGCCAACTGCTGGCATAACTTACCCAGAGTAAGTTTTACTATTGCACTAAATGGAATGAGTAAAAGCAAACTGACTGATTTAGACCACCAGAGTTCAAATCCATCTAATACCTGTGTGACCATGGCCTAGTTACTTAAGCCTCAATTTAATCTGAAAAATTAGAGGCCAGTTTGTGACCTGGCAATTAAGGCTAGATACCACATAGCTGACTATATGGGTCAAGTCCTAGACCCAGCAGGTTAAAAAACATTCCAAGTGTATGTACATGCATGCCCAAAATCCCAAAAGGAAGATAAATGGAGGTAAACAGACTGTGGCATGACTGTTGCCAAATGGGGATGCTTTCTAGCCCCCCACCATCTCTCTGGCAAGCATATGTGCCCTCTGGCAAATTTTTAAATAAAAGGAAAATGGGAAACAGCAATCCGTCTTCTAAGATCAGAGTGAAGAATAAGTAAAATTCTGCACATACGCAATAAACATTTATTATATGTGATAATATTTTATCCTACTAATAGTGCTACTGTAACTCCTGTGAATAACTGATGTGCAAAAGAGATCACAATTAAGAGTAATCAAAGAAAGACAAGAAAGAAGTAAGTATTTGTGATTTGAAACCCTTGCTGTAAAGGTGAAGATGGAAATCCAGAGACTCAAACTTTATGTTAGAGGCAGCCCCGCGCCGGCCCCCGGAGCCCCGCGCCGGGCCCCCCCACTCCGGGGGGCGAGCCACGCGGCCGGGGGGCCTCCCTGCCCCTCCCTGCCTCTCTGGCCCCGGCGCACTGCAGACCCCCACAACACCATTCCTGGTAACTACAAGATGACTGCTGTGCCGCATCAGCTGATAATTATCCCTGTGTACCAGAACTGCTTTCCTGAAACTGCATTCCTTGGAGACTCACCTACACTTGTGGATCTGCCGGAGACCCTTCCTTATCCAACCCTGAGTGGAGTTTATGCTCCCTATTACCAAAAACTTTATGAGCTGATGGTTGGAACTTGTGGCCTCTCTCCCTTTACTTGTATGTATCACTTTTTCAGTAACTCTTCTGGAAGACAACTGTATATAGCAGGGATATTGTAATGGGAGAGTGAGACAGGGCAGAGGGACAAACATAGGAAAAATAAAAAAAAATAAAAAAATTAAAAAAAAAAATAAAAAAATAAAACTTTATGTTAGAATAGTAAAAGAAGCCAGTGGTAATCTCAAAATATGTATTTAATGATAGTAGACTGCTTTAGTGTCTGTAATTCAGGAACTCTAAAGGTAGCCACGAATTAGCATTCAAAACAGAAAACATAAGTCATAAACATTTTAGTAACTTCTCTAAATGAAAATAAAGGTTACAACTCAAGATGAGATTCTGTTTAACAGATAAGATTTGCACTATACAAGAATGACCAATTTTTTTTTAACTTACGTTCTGTTATTTGATCAATAGATGCAATAGACAAAACTGCAGTTTTAAAACAAGTCTGATATATAATTAATGCCAACAAATTTTTTTTTCTATAGGGCACATGTACTCACTAGAGACAGAGAAAAGGAAAGTAAGAAATCACCCCCTGGGGATATGGCCACACCACAATCCCTTCTCTTCCATCCTCCTCACAGGACTTTGGTTACACATGCGTACACACATGTGCACACCTGGAGTGCTTTTCGAGCCACCAGAGCTGGGACTTGAACTCCACAGTTGGCCATATGGGATCCAGTGCCTTAGTCACAGCATCTGCTGGTCCAACAATTTTTTTTAAAATTTGTCAGAGAACAAATGCTTTCACCAGAAACAGAGAGAGAGAGAAAGACGGGGTGGGGAGGGGGAGAAAGAGAGAGAGAGAGAGAGAGAGCACGCGCGAGCATCCCAACAATGGGGCGTGGTTATGCAGTAATTCCTTATCCCCATTTCCCCATCCTTTTGGGATTTTGGACATGCGCAGATGTACACACACGAACCCAGCATGTTTCACAAGCTACTGGGTCCAGGACTCAAACAGCATATCCAATCATGT